GTTGTTACATTAAAAAAGTCTAACTTGTAATTTGAACACAATAATTTCATGTTTCTATGAACGTAATTAAATCATGAAGGATCTGTACGAAATTCAACAACTTAATTTGTTCTTGTTGCGATGACATGATACAATCTAGTAAGAGTGGTTAGTTGCTGAACTCATGAAATTCATAAGATTGCATGCGATGTCAAACTACAGGAAAATCACTGGAGTTAGAGGCAGACAACCATACACACACAAAACAAAAAAATTCTGCATCAAGCCTCGAAATCATAGCTTTCCTACTTTTGTTAAGCCTGGATTGGTGGCATCGTGGTTAATGCTGTTGCTTCACAGTATGAAGGTCCTGGATTCAAATCCGCAATATGGCTAGTTTGTAGTGGTTTCTCTCTGGGTCTACTGGTTTCCTCCCACAGTTAAAAGTCATGCAGTTATTATAGTTAAGTTAATTGGTGATTCTAAATTACCTGTAAATGCAAATGGTTGTTTGTCATGTGATAGACTGGTGAGCTGTCCAGGGTGTACCCTGCCTCATAACCTATCACTTCAGGGTTATTTCCCAGCCAGGATAAAGATAGGAGGATGGTAGTTGTTGTAGATCCATTCAACTTTCATGGTAACCAGACTCTAGACTTTGTTGAACATTATGTAGTATTTAGGTGACCAAGTAGTACTGCAGTAAAAGTTATTGAATAGTGGTGAAATAAAATGACAAAATTGTGAAGGATTAAAATATTCCAAGAGCTCAACTTACTTCATCTAAACATGTTTCAATTGCGTTTTTGAACACAAAATGCACAGGTTTATTGAATATGAAAAAATTGTGTTGATTTAACTAAGTTGTTTACATTTCTGCCAAAGCAAAACATTTGTGTGCAACCAATGTCCACTACTGAATTAAGTAAATCCAACATGGCCTTTATTTCAGTGTGTCTGACTCATTCTGAAGGTAAATAACTTTAACCGTGCTCTTGTCTTTGATCTCTGAAGTTGCTGACAAGTTCACAAACTCATTGTCAAACTCACTGTCTCTATCCTTCAGTCTGAAATTGCCAGACAATGCAAAGTTCCTTCTAATCTCTTTGTTAAGGACTTCAGCTGAATCAGGTATTCCAGTGGGCAGAATTAACTTTGATGCATTGTCAACTCCAAGGACAACTCTCAGGACTGCAGCCATCTTGTGTTCACTCTGATAAAAAAGGACACATTTCTTAAGGAAACTGTTTTAATTTTCACCAGTTTTGTATTGAGTTTAAATTTGAAATGAGAAAACCATTGCATTTCTATATGATCTAAATTTGTTTTATTTCTTGTATCTTTCCTCTCTTCCCTCTTTTTTCCCCCTTCACTTTCATTTCTGGCATTTCCCCCTCTGCTTTAAAAACAGGTTTGTATGACAGCCAATAATAACAATATCATAATAATGACAAAAATATTGGCATTGGCCAGTGGTACCTCTCCACCTCCTAGTAGATAAACCTTTCAATTTCAAATCAATTGCAATATTCTATGTTGCTTTAGGCAAGTTACCTAAAATCCAATAAATCAGACAATATTTATGTTTCTTGCATGAAACAATAGATTGCAAACCTGGAAGTCATTAATATGCAAACACAATGAAATCTTTAAATCCTCACATGAAAAAAAGGATTGTTTGACCATCAAAACTTGTATTTGGTGTAAATTTGCAGAACAGGCTATATGACTACTGGCAAGCTTGTCCACTATATCATTGTAGTCTGTCTGTCAGTGCGCCCCAGGGTGGCTGTGGCTACAATGTAGCTTGCCATCACCAGTGTGTGAATGTGTGTGCGAATGGGTGGATGACAGGTTGTGTAAAGCGCTTTAGGGTCCTTAGGGACTAGAAAAGCGCTATACAAATACAGGCCATTTACCTTTTTTTTTTTTTTTTTACCATTATGCCCAAGTAGCTGAAGAGACTTAAGTATGGGAACATATTGAAATGTTTTGTTGAACCTTGCCTCTAGAACATACTCAACAGGTTCTACAACATTAAACTTTTCCTCACAGAATTGCTTAAGTTTGAAATCTGATGCTAGTGGACGTCCCTTAGATTTAGCTTGGACCAAAGGACTGTTGCTAGAAATGGCAAGGCTGAGTTCCTTAATTATAACCTGAAGATTATACTTAAAAAAATCTCAACCGTTGTATTATGTGATATCAGTGCTGTAGCAGAGGCAAAAATGAAACCTTCAAGTAACTTTTGAGAAATTGGACAAGCCAATTTTTTAATCAATTTTTCATTTGGTACAACTTCACATAAATTATGTAACTTCTATGTCAGAGGCAATTTCTCCAAGATAAGTTGACTGTTCTTCGCATAACTGAGGTGCTCAATTTTCATCACCATCACAAGAGTTTGCAGTTCGTCTTGTAATCGGAAGGTTGCCGGTTCGAGCCCCGGCTCGGACAGTCTCGGTCGTTGTGTCCTTGGGCAAGACACTTCACCCGTTGCCTACTGAATCGATTCTAGAACGTAAATATCTGGTATTGGAAGAATCAAAATTTCAGTATCAATCCACACACCACTATTTTTCAATGTGTTTCCAGTCTGTGAACTGCAGGTCCTGAGCTAGTGATGAGCAAATGAAGCTTTCTGAAGCACTGAAGCTTGTATTGAAAAACTATTTCAACACAGTTCCCCTTGGTGACATCTGGTGGCCAAAAATATGAAGAGCAGCTTGAACCTACAACTTGTAATGAACTGCTTCATTATGCCCAGTTAACAGAGCTGAATTGACAGCCTCTGTTTGATATCATGTGACAGTTCTGTCTGATATCGGGCTGATATGGTGTTTTGAAGGTGTATTTTTTGTTGAAAAAATGATGTTATACCCATTTTAATAATATTGATGAATACATTTTCCTTGTTTAAACATGTGCCATGGTGTGTTCTCCTTTTGCTTGTGACTTCTTGATGGTTTTTTACTAATTAAAAAAAAAAAAACCCACACAATAAATAACAATGTACAACACATTATAATAGCTTGGGAGTATGCTTGTACTGTGAGGCCACGTGATTATGCAATTACCAGCAGACAGATTCGTTTATATAAAATATACCAAGGGCGTAGATTTGGTTTTGGCATTGGTGGGGACGGATGATTCAACCACCGAACCCCGCCCTGTTTCTTTTTTTCCCCTTTTTGTCTTTGCTTCTTGATAAAAAGGAGAAATATACTTGCCTACATATGCTATTCTACATGCTTTTAAACCATTTAAAATTACAATTCATAGTTTTACATTTGAAATTATATAATGTTAAATTACTATTAAACAAATGACTGACTAAGTATTTTAGGCTTTAGTTTACTTCAGCCATATTTCATATAAATCAGGCAGAGTTGCGGTTAGTGAGAGTTTGGAGACAGTTTGGAGGTTTATGAGAGTGAGGAGAGAAAGTCAGGAGAGAATGGAGCCAGCTAAGAAGAGGAGGATGTCCTCCCCTGTGTGGGAACATTTTGATCTTATATCTCCCAACAAGGTATGTAAATTTCTACAGAAGATGTATTTTCATAATACTGATGGTGCAATACAATTTATGTTAAGCGGCTTTACTTTTGTACAAGGTGAAGTGTTTGCTATGTGCCAGGGAGCTGGGATATAACAACAACACCTCATCCATGCTTAGGCACTACAGAGCTTTGCATGAGAATAGGGGGAACACTGATTGTGGAGCAAGACCAGGTGAGCATCAAATGCCATGATAATACAGCATGCAGTAATGTTACTAAATGAGATAACGATATTATACAATGCAATAAGTTACGTGTGTGATATTTATATTTGTGCTTTGTTCTGCTGAGGAAAGACAATAAAGACAATCTCAAATAGATGAAGACCTGGTTAGCATGGTGATTGAGGACTCCCAGCCATTTAGCATTGTGGAGGACAAAGGATTTAAAAGATTTGTTAAATCATTAAATCCTAGCTATGTTCTCCCCACTAAAGGTTATAGAAGCAGTGAAAATTTAGTTTTTACAGAATAAAATGTGGGCAGGACTGAGGCCTCAGTGTGTAGCTGTCCATACCTCAACGTTACAAAAGCACCACCACTGTCCACACCCCAACCACACCTCACAGTAAATGATCATTTCCATTTTAAGCATTTCCAAATGATCATTTTCCATACTGCCAGTATAAATATACACAGTATACTGCCATCACTACAATATAGATGCTTTACACCAGGGCTGCCCAATCCCAGTCCTCGAGAGCTACTATCCTGCAGCTTTTAGATGCATCCCTACTGCAACACAGCTGAATCAAATGGTTTCATTACCTCGTCAGCATGCCATCGTGTTTGGCAAAGGCCTGATAACAAGCCATTCATTTGATTCAGCTGTGTTGGAGTAGGGATGCATCTAAAAGCTGCAGGATAGTAGCTCTCGAGGACTGGGATTGGGCAGCCCTGCTTTACACACTCCTTTTGTTGTTGACATTTACAGGCTGTGTGCAAAAGGCCACACTCTTCAAATTCATGCCAACTAATATTTTTACGTCCAGTAGGTGTCCTACTAGAGCAAATGAAGCTTCAAGACGCTTTGCGCTGGGGTGAACCAATTGGATGAAAAGCTTCAGTGCTTCATGAAGCTTCATCTGCCCATCACTACTTACAGGTTTCTTTGAAAAATACTTTCTTATATCCAGGTTCTTCCTTTTTGCTGCCGTCCTCCCCGCAGCGCAGGCTTGCCGCTGCTAAAACTAAACAGAGCTGCCTGAAAGGCACAGCCAATCACATTGGCCATATTTGTCACATGACGTAGGACTTCAGTAGAGAACGTAATTTAACTCTTTCTGCACTGCTAGGTGAATGAGACGTCGACAGATGTTTTTTTTTCTTTCTATCGGGTTTGTTTTTCTTTACTCGAAGAGATCAAATTATTGGTGGGGACAATTCAATAATCGCTGGATATTGGTGGGGACATGTCCCTTCCGTCCATGCCAAATCTACGCCCTTGAAATATACTATACCTTCTATAACTATGATTATTTCTTATCTAGACTTTAGACCTGGGAGCAGAAATGCTTATGAACTGTTTTTTATTTAGGAATAGGCAGAGCATCCTCTTTTTGTCTGGCTCCATGTCTCTGATTACGATGGACGGCATTGATCACGTGACTCTGTTGAGAAGACCTGAATCTCGACAGTTTCTGAAGCAGTGTTGATTGTTTTGACACATGTGCCGGAGCTTTGCCGTCATTATCCCGAGCAAACTGCCCCTGCCCTTTTCTCTCTTTCTCACTCACAAACACACGGACGTGCCACAGTCCAGCCGTGCACGTTCCTCATTGGTCCCAGGAAGCGAAAAACAGGTGACGCAACACGGAAGTATCGGCAGCAGAGTCTTCGGGTTGTGGTGTGTTTATCGAGGCTGTGTGTGTGAAGGCTCTTGGAGAAACAACGACGCGACATGAAGGTGTTTTTTTCCGGTGTACTGCTGCTCCTGTGTGCGCGGCACACCGACAGCTGGGATGACGGTGGGTTGGCGTTTAGTGTCCGCTTCTTTTACGCTGCTCTTCAGTTCCGGTGAACTGAGCGATCGCCTGCCAAAACTGATTTCCGGTATTTGCCAAAAACGGATTGTTCCTATTTCAACTGATATAAATAACTTGTTGATCTGTAACATGTCAAATGTATCCCCCATAAATGATATCAAGTCACAAACAACGCTCCTGTCACAAGTTAGAAGCCGCAATCAGTCTTTGGCCGTGACTTTTATTTATTTTTATTTATCCAGTTAAAAAAAAAATCTCGTTGACATTAAAAATGTCTTTTTTAAAGAGTAATCTGACAAAGAGGACAGCAGAAATTGCAATAAATATAACAAAAAAAACCCTAATATAAACATATTTTAAGTGGACAAAAAGGACCAGATTGGTTATAATGTAGGTACAATACTAGGACGTTATAAAGATACTTGAAAAACAGGTAATTTTTAGATATTATATATAACCCCTTCGTAAACTCTGTTCACCAAAGTCTATTTACCAACATATGTAAAGATATTACACGTAAAAACAGAGGGAAACACTGGAAATCAATTTTTGGCAGACAATCACTTTTTGGCACAACACTGGTTACCGAGATGCTCCCCTGTTTAGGAAATACACCACAAACTAGTGACAAACACGCTGTGCATGCATGTTTGTCAGCAATGGTAGGTTATATGATGAGTATGGCACTACATGATGTCATAAAGAACAGCGTACAGAAAATGCTGGTTGATTCAGGACTAACGAGTCAAAGTTTGTTCCCAAAGAAGAGCTTTAGTGTGTCTAAAGCGACATGACTGTGATTTGTGTAATCCTAGTGTGGAAATCAGCCCTTGCCTTTTGTCACCTGCAGGCAGTGTACTGCTGCGGGACATCCAGGCACTGACTCTGTACAGGAACCGGTACACCACAGCCAGGCGCTCTAGCCCGATCCCTCAGCTCAAGTGTGTTGGAGGGTCAGCGGGCTGCCACGCCTTCGTCCCAGAGGTGGTCCAGTGTGTGAATAAAGGCTGGAATGGAGTCGATGTGCAGGTGAGGGACCTACTGGTGCTGTACTGTGTGAAATAAGCTCAGTAGGACTGATTCAGCCGCTTTATTTCAATTTTTGAAGAAATGACTCCTGTGTGTGCTGTGCATATTAAAATGTTCATCTCAGACAGTGGTAGGCCAACCCAAACTACAAGGACATTATTTCTACAGGCGACAACGAGGAGAGGTGGTTTGAGCCTTAATCTTTATTGTTGTTTCCATGTTTTTTTGGCACCACTGGCTGTAGGATGGTCTGCATGTTCAATTTCAGTAATATGTATGTGTTGACGGGCACATTCTGTCACATTCAGGCAGTTTAATCTTGTCAGCACAACTGCTCATGAAAAAAACAAAATCTGACAAATTAAATTGGGACTTTTTCTAATCTGAAATTTTGCACTTCAAAACTTGAGCAAGATTTGAGAAACTTGTGTGGGGAATCTCATCCTTGACAGATATGGGACACCTGCAAAATAGAAGACCTCACATTTTCCTTTTATTTTGTCTCTTTAAACTAAGTTCAAATGCAAGAATGTCTAAGTGGTGAGAGTGAAGTTTAAATGAGGTATTGTACCGTGTGTATGAGTAACCCTCAAACTTGTTATGCTTAAATACATTTTAGACTGATGGGGTGTCTCTTGTTCTGCTGTGTGTCACAGTGGGAGTGTAGGACTGACATGGACAACACACATCGATTTGGTCACATTGAGGTGAGCTGTGAGGGCTACAGTCACCCTGCTGATGCCTACATACTGAAAGGGTCTTGTGGGCTGGAGTACACACTGGAACTGACTGAAGAGGGCCAGAGGAGGTCTCACAGTAGTAGGGGTTCCCGTGATGGGTTTAAAGGTAGGAGGATTAGTGATGCAGGTTTTCATTTTTACACAAGGATTAGTTGTTTAAGAATGTTCTTTGTTGTTTTGTCTGTCAGATCTCTGGGGATTTGCCTCCAGTTTCTTTACTGGTTCATCAGAATATGGGCAGCAGCATGACCGTCAGAGCTCTTACACTGCAGGCACTCAGGACTCAGGAGGACTGCTGGTTGTTGCTGTGCTTCTGCTCTTAGCCTATGGCATCCATAAACTGTTCCTAAGTGGGAACACCACTGGGGGGCAAGATGGTGGACCAGCTACACATTCTGGACACAATTACCATGGCTCCATGGGTGGACCACCCCCACCAGGATTCAAACCAGACTACACAGGTAGTTGATGCAAAATGACGACGTACGGAGATGTAGACGGTGTGGTCTGCACATTTGTCAAAGCAGCACATCCTTTTGGTAGAGCGGACCTTGTATTCTGTATTATTTTAGGGTCTTTACTGAACAACATAAAGCACCTTGAGGTGACTGCTGTTGCGATTTGGTGCTAAAGAAATGAGACGAGTCTTATTTTATGTAATTTAGGCTGCATTGCATGAAAAAAAAGTTTTGATCAGTTCTTGTTTTCTGCTCAGACTACCCTGGAGCCAACCCCAGTTATGGTTTCCACAGTGATTACACTCACAGACACCAGTACCCAGGAGGCCAGGCAGCTCCCGGCACAGGAGGTGGTTTCTGGACTGGAATGGGAACAGGCGGGTTGCTTGGATATCTTTTTGGTGGTCGGAGGTTAGTAAAGGGGTGGAAGGAGAGAGAATAATGGAAAACGGAGACTATGGACTTATGTTTCACCTTCCTGTCTTCAGGATATTCATGCTGTGTTCCATCTCATGTATTCTGCAGGAGCCAGCCCTACAATTCTAACTACTCCACTCACACTAACAGACCTGCCAGAGAACCTCCCTCTTCCGGGACACGCATTACTTCAGGTACCAAGACTGTATGTTATTAGAAGGGACACAGAAACAGTTTGCACATGTTACCTACCTACCTTTGTGATTCTTATAGCCCTTTTCCATTAGTACCTATCCGGGTCAGCTCGACACGGTTTGTCCAAGAAATCAATTTGTCCTATCTTTCCGATATAGTGTGTTAATCCTATCCATCAGAACTTTTCTGTGGTCATACGCCATAATGTTTTGGAGAAAGACACTTTTTTTGGTCTCTGTACACCACCACAGTGGATTGTAAATTAAAAAAAAAAAATCAATTCATGATTGAAATGCAGACTTTCAGCTTTAATTGCAAGGGTTTTCCCAAGATTTGCATTAGAGACAGTTTTATAGACAGTCCAAATTAATGGAAGAATTGATGAGTACTTTCAGGGCCAGGTGAGACCTGGTCCCTTCTTATTTCATGACAAATGAAGCAGACATGACCATTCTGACGTTGATTTAGAGCGTTGAATTTCTATCTTTAAAATTACTGCTCATGTAATTTTAATGCATTTGAAATATGAGACCCATAGAGAAACTTGGGTAAGATGTGGCGTAAAAATATTGATAGTTGGTAGTAAGGAGCCCAAAGTGTGCCAAGAAAATACCCCCCGCCATTATACCGCCACTGCCAGAAGCCTCAATGCAAGCAAGGGTGGATTTATGCTTTCATGCCAAATTCTGACTCTACCTTCTGAACGTTTCAGCAGAAATCAAGACGCAGGTTTTTCCAGTCTTCACGTGAGCTGTAGTGTAAAACTTGGAGTGGTCTTCTGCTGGTTTGAACTTCAGCCTGTAACTGTCTGATTAGATACCTGGTTTAACGAGCAGTTTGAACATGTGAACTAGGGCTGCTCAATTAATCGAATTTTAATCACGATTACGATCTGGGCTTTCAACGATCATTAAAAATGACTGAGCCGATTATTAGCCCCTCCCTCATTTATCCGCGACACCTTAAAGGCCGGTCCGTGAAAATATTGTCGGGCATAAACCGGTCCGTGGCGCAAAAAAGGTTGGAGACCGCTGATTAAGAGGACCCGAGGGAAGCTCGGAAAACTAAGCAGAAGTTATTTGGAGAGTGACTGCTGTTGGTTGAAAAGAGAGGTAAAAAAAACTTCAGTGGCGTTGCACACTATTTTATATTATTTTTTTAAAGTCATTGTTAACCCTTTAAAGCCGGTCAGAGCAGCACGCTCCGTTTTGTGTAACTATTTTTAAATCCCTGTAGAACCTGAACCGCGTAAGCTAGCGCAATAATTTGTTTTGCATATGAAACCGGAGGAGTTGTACTTACATCTGATGCCATCAGCTTGTCCTCGGTCACGGTTTCCTTCCACATAAAGCTTTGCAAAAATTGCATAAAAAGCGCTTGCAGGAACAAAAACATAATATTCCAGAAACACGCTTTGCCGATCCGATCAGCTGTTCGTAACACTTCCCACAGTGTAACAGACGTCAGCGCGATCACATGTCCGCCATTTCCTGGCCGAAACCGGAAGTGACGTCATTTTCGCGGAAATGTAGTTTTTTTTTTTTTACTTGTAGGCCTTAAAAGCCTATACTGGTCATGTTTGACTTTTCTGAATAGTTTCTGGGATGCTTAGAACTCGAATTGCACATCTGGAAAGAGTTTATTTTGATGCACCTGCTGTTTTCTTTGCAAATTTGCATCATAGGATTGTTTTTTCGTTTTTCCTGCTGTATCTCCAAAATAACACTATGAAGACACTCAAAATAAATTTCTTGTTGTTGTAAACTATTTTTTGCAACTTTTTTGTATTTAACGTTTTGAGGGATAAACCTCTTAAATTTCTCCAAGTAGAAATATATGTAAAAAAAACAAAAACGATTTTCCATTTTTTTGTAGTTTATTGCACTTTTTTGCAATTAATGTAGTTACTGTGGACTTGATACATAGATATTATTAAAATATGGGCTATAACAGTTGTATAGCAACTTGAAATGCTCCCACAAATGGCACTACAACATGTAAAAAAATAATATATATAAGCTCTGGCGGACTTGGTTCTATAGTAGGTCTTAAAGGGTTAAATAAATATCGTCAAATAATCGAGATCTCAATTTCAGTGAAAATAATCGTGATTATCATTTTTGCCATAATCGAGCAGCCCTAATGTGAACCTAATAAAGCGTCTGAGTGTGAATACCAGTCTTAGCTGATCAGAGCAGGCTATTAAATGGTTTTTAAAGCTGTGCCTCCATGCACACGGTCACATTGATCTGCTGATTCACCTGCTTAGTTACGTGAATTACATTTTTTTTTTCTTGGTTTAAAAACTAACTGAGAGAACCATTAGTGCAATTAATGTCATGCTCATGTCAAGCTGCGTACCACAGCTGATGCTAGCTAGTTTGATAAATGATGTTAGACCAGTTGATACATTTTGCTGCATGGCTGTGTGTCTGAGCCATTAAGCTGCTGGTTTAGCTGCTCTTAAGTGAATGAAAAACACATCAGTTACATCCATACAAACAATCCTAAACAACTTTATATTACATGTTATAATGATATAAGCATTAATATCTCCAAGCACAGAAGCAGGATCACCGCACCCACAATAAAAGAACAATTCCTCCCTTTTTTCAATGAGCATGCCAGTAAGTGTTCAGTGCAAATGGCTACAACTGACTGACTCCTGTTTGTTTTTTGTTCTTTAGGTTTTGGAGGAACCAAAAGAAGATAGAAGCCCCCCCCCACACACACACACCCCCACACTTTCTGCAGTGGACAGAATATGACTAAGTGCATTGATCTGTTTGCTGCTTGCAGGCTGTAATCATTTCTTCAAGCAGAGACGTCCAAACGTTACTGCTCGGTTGTGTGTTTCTTGGAGAGCTTGCTGTGGTTCAGTAGTTTCTGTCAGCGTGTGGTTTGGATTTTAGCCTAAAAGTTTTAACGTCCAGCATAAGAAGCTTGTAGGGCTTTATTAAAACAATAATAATGTTTCATTGATAATTACTAGATTTGGGGGTTTTTTGTAGGCAAGTTAAATATTTGAACTCTTTAACTGCAACCTTCTGCTCAAATGTTTGTATCTGTTACGGTGTTCCTCTGCTGATGCACCTTTTCCCTTCCAGTAAATGAAATATTAGAATTGACAAAATGGTTAATAAAATGGTGTGTACTGCTGCTCTCTGGCTTTGTGCATCAGCTAAGAAAAAACCTTAGTCTTTAGACTCATTGAGAAAATCCACCTTTCAATCATCTGTGCAAACTCATCACTGGATGAGTTTGCACTAGGGCTGTGCGATATGACCAAAATCTCATATCCCGATATAAAACATTTCTCATCCTGATAAAGATATATATCACAAAATAGTGGTTTTTGTGTAAATTCTGTGAATCTCAGGCAACTCGACTTGTTTTTAGCTAGGCGTCGTGTACCTGGCATCGAGTGTTTTGACAGATGCATGAAACTATATATTTTTAGATATACGTTGTAACGGCCATCATTTTCTTTGTATTTATTACATAGTGTGTTGCGGGGGAAAACCTGGCGGCTCTTTTTTGCTTCTCATTCATAAACTCTCTCCAGACTCTTTCATGTGATTCTTGCATAGGTGGTAGAAGAGGTTTGTCGTGTTTGAGTCTGTGGTGGGGAATAGTTTGCAGCATAATTTGCGCAGTACAGTTTTCTGGTCAGACTGTGTCAGACTTTTGCATAACCAAACCATGTCCCCTTGTAGGAATAAGGTCCTCGATCGGTTTTGACTGGTCCTTCGGTTTGGAGCTGCCTGGTTCTGCCTCATCTTCACTGGCCATGCTGGTATTCTCTGTGAGTGTAAGCGCCATTTATAGTTACTTCATGTTTTTATTTGAGGTAATTTGTTTGATGCACATTCTGAAATTTGATGTTTGAGGATAATGTATATCATTTCAGTTTATTTTGAAAACTCATCAGGATCTTGAGCTTTATTGTGAAAGGTTTATGTGGAAAATAAACGAGCGGACGGCGGAGCCACACAATGGTTTTACCGTCGCTGTTGCTAACGAACCAACGGCTAAGAAGTTGATTGTCCGTCTGTAGTGTGGTTATTTTAAATATAAGAGAAAGAGAACTTAACATATAATATGAAATGATCAATGTTTTCATATCGATATACTTATTTTGATACATATCGTCATATCAAACAGCCTTAGTCACTTGATAAGGAATCCCTTGTCATCCCCCCAGCCGCTGTTTGTGAGGCCCTGGTTGTGCCTTTATAAAGCTTCACAGGAAAAGCTGTCGATATTTAAGAAATGTTTCTGATCACACTCAACAACACATCAAGGTAGAAAACTGATTTCTACAATCCTCATTTTAATTGCATATTTAAAATATCAAAACAAAGTGTGCACACTTCCTGCTTTCCAGAACGTATGAGATGTACAGGCACAGATGGGCCCACACTAAATACAAATAAATACAGTGCAGGGCACTGGTGTGCGCCCTGGTGCCTGTATTATGTGAAAAAAGGTTAACATTGACTAGTAATGGATCACTTTTATTCAGAGTAGTGAATAAGTATTTAGACTCTTTACATAAATTATAATCCTACAAAACAGTCTTACATTAATTTCATATGAAAATATATTCAAAATAGCAAGTAAAGTAAAACATTCTTTAACATTATGTTCCTTTTCACGATATATTAATTATTCAATGATAAATGCTGATTGGCTAATGTACTTTAATGTTTCATATGACACAATACGGTCATATTAATATGACAGCACTGGTCACAATGATGCAAACGAGCTCCAACATTTAATGTTACACTGATGATCTGACACAACAAATGTTAGATGAAAAGCATCAGACACAAAGTCTTTTACAATTGTGTCAGCCTCTCACATATGTTCTCAGGCTGATCTGCTTTCTTGCAACTTGTGAAATTTGTAAGAAAGCAAAGTTGGTTGCATTTAATAGACTTACATTTGTTTATATTAGCTAGCTACTGACGGGACTAAAACTAAAAATTAGTCACTTTCGTACTGCCCCTCACTGCAACAATGAGTTTTATGTTAAGAAACTAAGGATATACTGTTTACTTTCACTGTCTGTCTCTTTGGCAGTTGGTGGTTCATTACATTACATTAAATACATAACATTACATCTACGGGTGCAGCTAGTCAAACAATGACACTTGCTGTTTAAGAGATCATATGACTGATGGGGTTTTGCTGACTAAGTGCCTTTTTTTATTTTGTGATTTAGGGCTATATAAATACAACTGAATAGTAGAACAAGACAGAGAAATACTTCTACATCACAGCAGTCTTTTGCCCTCACTATGTCCAAAAGATTAAAGTGTCAGAGGGCTTATGTTAGCAGCTGTGCAGAGATTCTGCACAACTGCTAACATAATATGGATCGCACGAGAGCCCACACAATTTGCAAATCATGTTCAAGATATCAAATCATCCTTTTTGCTGCTGATTCCTAAATCAAATAAGAAAATTACACTGGATCTTGCGGGAAGATTTATTTTTAGAGATTAATAGAAAGATGTGGATGTAATGCATCTGAACGGTTGCTTTGGGGATCCTCATCCTTATGTACAGGTCAAGAGAGGAGTTGACTGTATGTATGTGACAGGGAGAGAAATTTTTAGAGCTGCAATGTCTCTAAAGAGATTTTATTTATTCTCAAGGATCATTAGATTTGATGACTGGGAATCAAGATCGGTTATAAGGCAGGGATAATCTGCACTGTGGGACAACTTCATGACACTAGGCCCACGAATGGTTTAAAGGCAAGGCAAGGCAATTTTATTTGTATAGCACACTTTCAGCACAAGGCAATTCAAGGTGCTTTACATCAGCGGTCCCCAACCCCCGGGCCTCGGACGTTTGGTACCGGCCCGCGAGAGTTGAGGCTCAGATGTGAAATGTATGGTTTTCAGGGTTTTTATCGGTTTTCAGCGTTATTTTGTTATCGTTTTTATCGTTAACTCTGTTTTCCTGAAAATAATGTCGGGCATAAACCGGTCCGTGGCGCAAAAAAGGTTGGGGACCGCTGCTTTACATGATTAAAAATAAAACACTATAAAAGTAAAATACAAGAAAGCATTTACAATAAAACAATAATCAAGACAATAATTTATATGAAAAATTAAAACAAACAAGTAGAGAGCCATAATATGATCAGTTACTCATAAGCAAGTCTAAATAAGTAAGTTTTAATTTTAGACTTAAAAGAGTTCAGTGTCTCTGCAGCTTTGCATTCTCCCGATAATGTGTTCCAGATGTGATGAGCATAGAAACCAAAAGCTGCTTCTCCATGTTAGGTCTGGTTCTAGGGACGGTCAATAAACGAGAGCTGGAGGACCTAACTGATCTGGATGGTTTGTACCATGATAGCAGATCCCTAATGTACAACCCGTTCAAGGATTTATAAACTAATAAAAGCACTTTAAAGTCTATTCTCTGAGCTACAGGGAGCCAGTGTAATGACTTTAGAACTGGAGTAATGTGCTCTATTTTCTTGGTTCTAGTGAGAACACGAGCAGCAGCGTTCTGAATCAGCTGCAGTTGTCTAATTGATTTTTTGGGTAAACCTGTGAAGATACTGTTACAGTAATCAAGGTGGCTAGAGATAAATGCATGGATGAGTTTTTCTAGGTCTCCTTGTGTCATCAGTCCTTTAATCCTAGAAATGTTCCTCAGGTGATAGAAGGCTGACTTTGTTATAACTTTTATGTGGCCATGGAGGTTCAGGTCTGAGTCCATTATTACACCGAAATTTCTGGCCTGGTCGGTAGTTTCTAGTTGGACCAGTTTGAGCTGATTACTGATATTTAATCGATCTTTTTTGGGTCCAAAGATAAGTACTTCAGTTTTGTTATTGTTCAGTTGAAGGAAATTATGAGACATCCAGTTATTAATTTGCTCAATGCATTTATTAAGAGTTTGGATAGGTTCAACATCACCTGGTGACATTGAGATATAAAGTTGAGTATCGTCTGCATAATTGTGGTAGTTAATATTATTGGTGGTTATAATCTGGCTTAATGGGAGTATGTAAATGCTAAATAAGAGGGGCCCTAGGATGGAACCCTGGGGGACCCCGCATGTGATTTCTATATTTTGTGATGAAAATTGGCTAATTGACGCATAGAAGTTCCTGTTCTTAAGGTAGGACTTGAACCAGTCGAGTGCTGTACCAGAGAGTCCGGCCCAGCTGTCTAGATGTTCCAGTAATATATCATGATCAACGGTGTCAAACGCCGCACTAAGGTCCAGTAGTACCAATACTGTGGATTTCCCACGGTCATTATTTATACGGATGTCATTAAACACTTTGAGGCTGTCTCGGTGCTGTGGTGCCTATGAAAACCAGACTGATAAATATCAAAGCGGTTGTTCATTGCGAGAAAGCTGTTTAACTGCTGGAAAACAGCTTTTTCAATAATTTTACCGATAAATGGAAGATTAGAGATTGGTCTGTAGTTTTGCATTAATGTGCTGTCTAGGTTCTTTTTCTTTAATATTGGTTTGATAACTGCTGATTTTAAGGCTTTGGGAAAGACACCTGATAGGAGGGATGCGTTAACTATTTGGATCAGATCCTCCCTGATGGCTGGGAGGACCTTTTTAAGAAAACCTGTCAGTAATATATCCAAGCAGCAGGTGGCAGAGCTTAGATTCTCAATAATTTTATCGAGGCTTGATTGATTTATTGTTTGAAAGGGAGTCATTTTCTCTGCATAAGTGCTAATTGGGCTTAACGTCGGTATTGGGGTTGAAACTAATGTTCCAACTGATCTTCTGATTTTCAAGATCTTTTCAATAAAGAAGCTGGCAAATTCATTGCAGGCCCTGGTGGAGCTTAGTTCAGGGGCTTTTGCCACTGGAGGAGTAGTTAATCTTTCCACTGTAGCAAATAATGTCCTAGCATTATTGTTGTTTCTATGAATAATCTCAGAGAAAAATGACTCCCTTGCATCCTTCAGGGCTAGTTGATACTTATTCAGCCTCTCTTTATATATCTCGCAGTGAACCTGGAGTCGAGTTTTCCGCCCCTGACCCTTCAAGGCAGTATATGGCTGCATGTGATCTTACTGTATTTTAATGTATGGAACAGAACATTTATACACATAAGCCAGATGGAGGAGCTGCTGAAAGAAACTAGGGGGACAGTTTTTCACATCATACAACCTCGGATAGTAGCTTCTCAAAACAAAGCTGACAATGGTTGGAACGCATATTAATGCTAATGAGGACATTGTCTCAATTCCTTTTCTCCAAGATAAAAATCCACTATACTGAAAGCTTAAAATAAAATATAACCTTATGACAAATCACGAACCATACATCTGTTGCTAATTGTGTTCCAGTAAAGACTGATTGCAATCATTAAACATGCTTTTTTCTGTTTAAAAATGAGATACAGACATAATATGTTAATGGTTTATGAAGGGAAATTTTATTTCAGACTTGTTACTAAAACCCCAAATATGTTCAGAAGAATACCAGAAGGTCCCAAAAATGAAGACCATACACGGGTTAATCTGGAGAATTTCTGCATTTTAGGAAATTTAAAAAGGGTGAGCATGTTCAATAGTTATTTCTGTTAGATATTTTATGATTGATGAGACCCATGTGGGCCACTCAAGTCGTCCCATGATCACCATCACATTTCTATAAAAGTAATCACAGTGTACTGATTAACTATATATTACTACTATCACGGCTAAAGTACTGATATTTCACTACCCTTATCATGTAACCAGCAGGCCACCTCCAGTCAACTAACTGCACCCCATGTTAGCCCTGATGCTGTGCTGTAGTGATGTGTTTGAAGTGCACAGGATACAGCACTTTATGAATGTGTGTGGTTGGGCTGATGCAGCTTGAGCAAGTATATAAGTGCTCTATCAATTCCAGTCTATTAGGGTACAAATCTCGGTGGGACCTTGTCCTTTTTGTTCTTTAATGTGTGCTTTTCTCTTGTTTTGCATACATTTCTCCAGGGGTCCGTTCTTCGTACGTCGCTCACTACATCCAAGATCAAATGACACATCCAAGACCAAACCATCGCCCTAACCGTGAGCTCGCTAATCCGGTTCCCCGAACACACCTGCTGTTGACGATTAGTACAGCTGGACGCAGTAATGTGACATCACTGGGTGTTGTAAAAGGGGCTACGCATCGATAGTAGAAACATTGATCGGCAACCCTCTGATTGGTCGGCGAAAATGTCGACGGAGCGCGCTCGGCTTGGTATTTTTCGGCAGCAGAGCAAGAACTCTTGAGTGAGGGATTTCAGGAGTTTCAGAGTTTAATCAGAACGCAAGGGAACACTGCAAAGGCTGCAAAAGCAAGGAGAGAGGGCTGGCAGAAAGTTGCTGACAAATTAAACTTGTAAATAATTTAATAACAATAATAATGGAGTGGATTGATATAGCGCTTTTCAAGGCACCCAAAGCGCTTTACAATGCCACTATTCAGTCACTCTCACATTCACACACTGGTGGAAGCAGCTACAGTTGTAGCCACAGCTGCCCTGGGGCAGACTGACAGAAGCCAGGCTGCCATATCGCGCCATCGGCCCGTAGGCGGTAGGGTAGATTTATTATATTACACTATATTATCCAATATTATATTACATTATATTATAATATGTTATATTATATCCCCTTTCACATTAGAGCCACAACAGGACCCACTAGAACATGGGAACAAGTAAAAGTGAAATATAAGAATATTCTACAGAATGGTAATATTTATCACTTATATTGCTTTTCGTCTCTTGGAAAGAGACCCTGGAATAATCTGTTTGTTTATAACAGCAACCAAGAAAAGGGCAGAGCAAAAAAAAAGACAGGTGGTGGTCCTGCACCCCCTCGTCAACAAGTTGGTTAAGTAAATAATACCCTCACGGGAAAATCGATATCTCTCTATGAGCACAGTCGCGCTGAGCTAAAGGATCCTGTCTGTCCCGCAATATACGCTGGATTCTGAAAACTCTCCTTATCAATCTTGCACCTTCCGCAATGGGTGGCTCGCGTATACGGACAGGACATGGCTGCGACAGGCTTCCCAAATCCACCTTCGCTTTTATAGCCGTGGTCTCTCATCTTGATTACACAAAGTAATTTGCAATTGCTACTCTGAAATATGAATTACATCTGTAATAATCACATACATGTGATAGAATGTTAATAGTACATTTCCCTTTTTTAGGAAATGACCTGTATGTATCTGTGTGAAATCAATAAATGGATCAGGTGCTGCATTATCTTTAGTTACATTGATGTTATTTATTTATGGTGAAACAGTGGTGGAATATCGCTGTTGCTTTCGTATAAATGAAGCGGACATACCTGCGTGGCCGCGATCTAATCCTGTTTACATAAAGTAAACCTGCTCCCGAGCAGGTTTACGCTTACGGCTCTGTTGCTATGACAGCAAGTCCCGGATGAGCTTCGGGGAACCGAACGATCCAAGATCACGCGAAATCGTCAACAATCAAATCCAGCTAACCTACTTAGCGAGGTACGAAGAACGGGCCCCTGGTTGCTGCTTATTCCTACTGTCTACTATTTATGTTTTATCCTGGCAAAGTTACTGTGGAGCACCCAATTTCATACAATGCCAATAAAGGGCTATTCAATTCAATTCAATTAAGCAGGTGACATCAAAAGTCTGCTAAATTCAAAGAAGTGAATCTTTTCACTTCTTTTTTATTCAAAATAAAAAGCTGGTTTTATGGTCCTGCAAATGTGTCCGACTGCATACATTTTTCAGTTGGACAGAGCAGGAAGAGGGGTTTTTAGAAGCTCCTGGGCAGTCTCCAAGATCCTGGCTGTGCACAGCTGGAAGCAGATGATGTAAGCAACTCCCAAAACTTATTTGGTTGACAAGTGGGCAGGTATAGAGCAGGGATAGCGGGTTTAACCGATAATAAGAGAACCATGAAAAACAAACAAACAAAAAACTTCATAGAATTTTAAAAAAGAAAAAAAAAATCTAACTAAACATGAAAAGCACAGACAGTGGCCGTTTTCCATGGTTTTTAAACACTCATCAGCTCTTTCTATGTTGTGAGTCACAAACCAACAACACATACTTTATATACTGCCTCCATCTGACAACAGAGCTCTCCTCAGGCAGAGACGGTCAGGCCCTTGATTGGACCCAACAGGCCTAGTGGTCAGATCAGATTTTTTTGGCTGTTCGCATTAATCTTTAAATGTGGCCATTAGTCTGGCCATTATCAGATTCTAGTATAAACCAGTATTGGCCCTGTCATCACCTACAAAAGAACAAAGGTATCACACGAGATTCCCAAAAGAGTCCCAAAGATAGCTCCAATAACAAGGTGTCCAGAGCTCTTATAGTGTGGGGGACATTTTTTTTCCCCCAATCCACTTGTCCCTTTAAACATCCTCTTTATCAAAAAAGTTCTTGCAAGTTATCAGCTTTGTCTAGGTATTTTCATCATGTCAGACATGTTCATTTGACACGTACATTAGTTTGTCACCTCTTTCTGTAGGTTGGAATTGGTCGAGGAGCAGCTCACCTCACTCTCTCTCTCGTCATCGTCATGTATTACAGTGCAGCGATGAGTCTTTAAGGACTGTGACCGAGTGAACAGTCTCTTGCAATGTGAACACCAATATGGTTTCTCTCCAGTGTGAACACGTAAGTGGCGGTTGTAACTGTATGAGCTATTGAAACATTTCCCACACTGGTCACAGCTGAATGGCTGCTCTCCAGTGTGGATGCGGAGGTGGCGAATATAATTGCTTAGACGACCAAAACTCTTTCCGCATTCTTTACAATTATAGGGTTTCTCTCCCGTATGAGTGTGAATATGTTGCTTGTATGTTTTTGAAATAGAGAAGCTTTTCTTGCATAATTCACACTGGAATGGTTTCTCTCCCGTGTGTATGCGTAAATGTGATTTATAATTACCCAGCTGAGAAAAACTCCTGCCACACTGGTCACAGCAGTATGGCTTCTCACCTGTGTGGACACGCTGGTGTATCTTGTAACTACTTAAGTCACTGAAGCTCTTTTCACATTGGCCACACTCATATGGTTTCTCTCCGGTATGGTTCCGCAGATGAAGACTGAAATGGCCTGACTGAGTGAAACTTTTTCCACAAAAATCACACTGGTAAGGTTTCTCTCCACTGTGGCTCAGCTGGTGCCGCTTGTATGAGCTTAAAAAGCTAAAACTCTTGGGACACTTGTCACAGCAGTATGGCTTTTCTTTAGTATGGACACGCATGTGTATTTTGTAAATACTTAAGTAACTGAAACTCTTTTCACACTGCTCACACTGATACGGTCCAGTGTGATCGCGAAGGTGTTTTCTGTAGGAACTCTGGTCACTGAAATCTCTCCCACACTTGTTGCAGCAGTATGAGGTGTCTTCAGGGTGAGTATACAGGTGTATCTTGTAAGCATTTAACTGGCTGAAACTGCTGCCACACTGTTCACAGTGGTATAGTTCCTCTGATGTGTGACTCAGTTCGTGTCTTCTTAGACTACAGATCCGAGTGAAACATTTCCCACAGGTCAGACACTGGTGAGGTCTGCTTCTGTCTGGATCTGACGGTTTCAGCTAAGTGGGGAAAAAAGACAAATTAAGGTCAGCTGAGAACTTGCTCAAATAGTCCCTGTATATCATGGAGTGTTAACATATAAAAGATGCAGTTTTTTGAGGTTTGTTAGATACAGCTCAGATTGTAATTTTAGGGAAAGTTACATAGGTTTTTGTGCTTAAATACGCCACTGCTTATTCTGAGATACAGTATGAGATTTGCTATTGCAGTGCTTAAACAATTATTAAAATGGAGGAAACACAAAACCTCTGTCCTGTCCATTGTGCATGCCACCTCTCACCCAAAGTCAGGTAGAACAGACCAGATGGGGGTGAGGGGTAAGAGGGGAGAGCAAAGAGCCAGGACACAATCAATCAATCCATACATCCATCCACTCAGAGAGAAATTAGCCACACCTCTGGCCAGTTTAGACTCACTAGTTAACCTAACAACATACATGAATGTGAGAAGAACCTGAAGTACCCAGAGAGAACCTACATTGAGGAGCCCATAGCAATTATTAAGAGTTAATAAATAACTTAAAAACATATTTGAGAATTGTTAACAGCACTTAATAATTTATAAAACAATATAGAACTTTAAGTAATTTATATTTCATCATTAACTACAAGCTTGGCCTGGAATCATGAGGTTGATATTCACAGGTGGGCAGACTTGAGCAGATAAGGTAAAGCATGTACTGGAGCCTGCAACAGGACCTGTGCTCGTAGGAAGTGGAGATAGGAGTGATTGAAATAATGCTGACTAATGGACCAATCAGAAAAATAATTAGCTGATTTGTCAACCCTCTCGTGAGGGTTTTTAAATCGGCTTTCCCACTCACTCCAAAAGGTCCTTGATTCTATGGCTCTGTAAAATCCCACTCTGTTTCCTTCGCTCTGCTCCATGATTTACCTCTGACCTCTGAGCATTGAAGGCCAAAACTCGGGAACTAGAGCATAATGCAGAAATCTGTGAACTCCAGTATAAAGATTCCATTAACCAGGCCAAACAAACCTTTTATTGTATTATCAGTTCAATTCAATTCAATTTTATTTATATAGCACCAAATCACAACAACAGTCGCCTCAAGGTGCTTTATATTGTACAGTAGATTCTACAATAATAAATACAGAGAAAAACCCAACAATCATATGACCCCCTATGAGCAAGCACTTTGGCGACAGTGGGAAGGAAAAACTCCCTTTTAACAGGAAGAAACCTCCAGCAGAACCAGGCTCAGGGAGGGGCGGGGCCATCTGCTGGGGTGACAGAAGGAAGACAGGATAAGGCATGAGGATAAGGCAGTTCTTATGAGGGTAACACCAGGATCCTGTTTTTGCTTTTCTACAAACTTCTTCAACCCCTCTGACGCTTTACCACCACACTTTTATTCATCTGAAACCTGTAAGTCCTTGATGCTGTTCTTCACTACGAAAATTAACAACATTCACCACCAACTCAGTTCAAATGTTGTGTCTACCCCCACTTCAGAAGGTTTTCTCCATTTTGAGCCTTTTTCCACCTTTCATGTTCCTGATATATGTGATATTTCTGAGTTTATATGTAAATCAAAGCGGGCTACATATCATCTTAATCCTATGCCTACAGGACTTATGAAATCCTGCCTCTCTTCCTTACTCCCACTCATCTCTGCTATCATTCACTCACCACCGGTATCGTTCCCTCCTTATTCAAGATTGCTTCAGTCACTCATATACTGAAAAAAACCTTCTTTGGAGCCTGACAACTTTAACATCCTCTGACCAATTTCTAATCTACCCATCATTTCTAAAATACTTGGGAAAAAAAAATAGTCATAGCTCAGCTTCATTCACACTTGGTTAATAATAACATCTACGACAGAATTCAATTTGGCTTTCGCTCATGTCACAAACTGCTTTATTTAAAGTTACTGATAATATTTTACTCAGAGCTGACTCTGGTCTTCTGAACATTCTCATCCTTTTGGATCCGAGTTCAACCTTCAACGCCATCTCTCACTCAGTCCTTCTAGCTGAACCCTGGTTCAGCTTTGATTTTCTTAAGCTCAATGAGGATAAAACTGAAATCCTTCTTATAGGCAATAAATCCAACCTACTCAAGGCAAATCATTTCACCCTCACTACTGATAACTCCATAGTTCTCCCATTAGAGCCTTGGTGTCATTCTAGACAGCTCACTATCCTACAAATCTCATATCAATCTACGGAACGTTAACCGATTACTAGGGATGGGTACCGGTATCGGTTCTGACATAAACGGTAGTAACCAGACCGAAAAGCAGCGCACATTTCGGTGCTTTTTTTTCCCCTGAGATGTCACACACTTTGGATTCTAGCCAATCATTTTACCTTTTCGAGGATAGTAGGCGGGCCCAGTTACGTACGTTCTTTTAGAGCAGAGCTACAGATTAAAAATGCCCAAGGCGAAGCGGTCAAATTCTGGCTGTACTTCACAGCAAAAGATGCAAACTCAGCAGCCTGTAACAAGTGCTTTAAGGTGATACTGTGCATAGGAGGTAACTCCTCGAATCTGATGAAACACCTGGCGACGTATAGCATTTTGTTAAAAGCCGAGAAATGCGCCGTATTTCATAGCTTGCTGCGAGACCTCACACCGAGCACATCTACTGCAGGTGGGTTGTCTGTTATCGGGCCCGGAGTTAGCAACATCCCCCAAAAACCCAAAGAGGAGAGTCCTGGCCCCTAGCCCTGCCAGTGTAGCAGAAATGATGACGGATGATGATGGCAGCAGCAGCCGTTCTTCTCTGCGTGAGTAGCTAATTTACGTTGAGTAGGCTAACCACGTTATTACATTAATGCATGTAAGGTGAACTAGCAAACATCATCATAGCTACATGCGGCTGTCCTCTTGTTTGATGGAAGACGCTCCTTTCACCCTGGCCAAAAAGGCTAAAATGACCAAAGAAAAAGTGGAAAACAGCTAAACATGAGAGGTTTTTGGACAAAGTTTCTGTTTTTTTTTTTCCATTGTTTAAGCACTGCTTCCAGCCAACAGTGATACCATAAATCCCCTATAGCTGCAGAAAAGGCACACATTGTTATATTTTTACAAAAAAAAAAAAACCAAAAAAAAACCCCCCAGCTAAACATGAGAGGTTTTTGGACAAAGTGTGTGTTCTCCATTCTTTAAGCACCGGTTCGAGCACCATTTAAGCACCGGCACCGTTTCAAAAGTACCGGTTTGGTACTGGTATCGGATAAAACCTAAACGATACCCATCCCTACCGATTACGTCCATCTCTTTCCACCTAGTCTGCGTCCATTCTTGTTCATAGTCATGTTACCTCCCACATTGACTATTGTAATTCTCTCTTGCATGGTCTCTCCCCAAACTCCCTCCATATGCTTCAACTGGTTCAAAAGTCCACTGCCCGCATTATTACCAGAATCCCCTCATACCAGCACATCACCCCTATCCTTCAGGAACTTCACAGCCTACATGTGAAATTCCAAATAGTGTACAAGCTTCTTCTGCTCATCTTCAGGGCCCTTCATAACCTGCTCCTCCTTCCTTTTTTTTATTGGTCTTTGTTTTGTCATTTTTTAATATGCGTTTTATTCTATTGCTAGGCATTCTTGGGTGTCTTCAAAGGCACTTTTAAATAAAATGTATTATTATTACTATTATTATCACTGATCAAAAGGCGTTTCAGTGCATTATTGAACACCTACTGTAAAGAGTACCCTGCACAGCAGATAAACACCCACCCATATTTGTCCTGCAGCATGTTTGCAGCCAGCACTACATTGGAGCCATTGTCACAGACGCAACTTTGCTTGGTGGAATCTCAAACTTGTCTACAGTATGCTCAATCCAAGGAACAATGTTTGGCCCAGTGTGCAATTCATCAAGTTGCATGTTTATGAGGCAGAAGCTAATGTTATCACTTAGTGACTGATTTAAGAGTGTTTGATTCAAGAGCACCTTTAAGCTTACAAAGAGCAGTTTCATACTTCCCCTCCATTAGCCTTGTAAAATATATTCTGGAAAGCTGTGTAAGCTGTAACCTGAATGATATGTGCCGATTATCATTTTTTAACTATGGATATTGGTCTCATGTTGTTGCCATGACAGAGAATCCTCTCTGTTAAGATGTCAACCATTTGCTGGTTGCGTGAGCCTGTCCTTCAGCGCAAAAATCATCTAGACACCCTTCGCTTATTACTATCAAAACAGAAAACAAACAAACAAAAACCAACAAAGCTGTTACTAATCTAGTAAGGCACTAAATTAAGTGCCTTGAGGCAACTGTTGTTGGGATATGGTGCCATCTAAATAAAATGGAATTGAATTAGTTATCAAAAACTGATGTCAAATAATGTTAAAGTTAATGCAAAAAAACAAACCAAAAAAGCCAAACCACACACACACACACACAAAAAAAACAACCCCAAAACAAGAACAACAACCACATCAAGGAAACAGCAACTCCAGGTCACTGGTTTACTATCGCAGTTCACCTGTTAGTTAACATAACTGAACTGGTGTTCACTTGGCAAGCAATTAGCTTGTTTCCAACAGGTAAACGAAGATACATTAACAGTAGGGATGGGTATTGATAAGATTTTCACGATTCCGATTCCATTTTCAATTCTGTTAAACGATTCGATTCTTTATCGATTCCGTTATCGATTCTTTTTAAAAAAGGAGAACACTAAGGTCGATTAGCTTAGAACTTTGTTTTATATCTTCTCTTTGAACAAGATAGAAATTTAGGAGTAACACGGCCTTACAAACCCAACAGTGAGATCTTAAGAGATCCAGCCTATGGCTCTTCAATGGGTGTCACAGGGTCCCCAGGGGAAAAAAAACAAACTGTAAATGTAAACTATTAAAAAAATAAATATTCTTCTGGAGCAATAACAAAGTATAACATAAATTATTCTGTAGCAATTACACAAGAATATCCAGTAATGTCCCTGCCTACAATTAAACACATTCACTTACCGAAAATCATCTGCTGTGGCAAATGGATGCAAGCCTTTTACCCCAAACTTAGTCACTGCTCGGTGACATTCGTCTATCCTGGCCTGAAAGGAGACGCTACCGGTAGAATGCAGCGAGAACTGCCAGCGAGCGCCAGCCAGATTCTGTCTGTCTCTCTCATCATAGTCACCTAAATGCAGCGCACAGTAATGGCAGGTTTTGTAATAAGGCAGCTAACATAATATGCATTGTTAGTTGATTATTTACCTGCCGCATTAACGGGAGAGGACGTGCAAATGTTACCGCCGCTGCTGGGTTGAGATTCACGAGTCCGGAGCGGATTTAAAAACACGACATTCATTTAAGGTCATCGCGTGTTTTGTGAACAAATGCTTTTTCATATTCGTAGTGTTTCCTCCCTTAAATGAAATATCTACTTTGCAAGTTGACCTGTTGTCATCCGTTCTCGTGAAGTATGACCAAACTTTTGAGCGTTTGAGCCGCTTAGGCGCCGTGTTCGTTGCCAGGTAAATGACGCTCCGCAATGTGGTGACGTCATGCGGGGCAACTGGAATCGATAAGGGAATCATTTGCAAAAATGGCAAACAATTCCAAGGAATTGAAACAGTGGGAACCGGCTCTCAACAAGAACCGGTTTTCGATACCCATCCCTAATTAACAAGGTGTCAAACTGACGCTAAATTGAAACAAACTTAATTCTCTAAAACTCTAGCGTTGACATGACGGCTCCAGAGTTGCTTAATGCTCATGCACTGCAGTCGCGCTACCATGCAAGGAACGCTCTGCTTTGCACAGTTTGCATTCAACTTTGTTTTTTGTGAAATGCTCCCACACTATTGAAAGTCTCTTTGAAACATCCACTATGTGACGTGTCAACATTAAAAATTGATCATTGCAGTAAAACATCATCAGAATGGTTCTACAGACATTGCAAACACTAATTACATTGTACAATGCCAAGAAAAACTCTACAGCAGGGTTAGACAATCATCAAATATGATGAGCCATACACACGAATCTGCACTATGTGATGCTCATTCTTATTTTTGTTGCCCATGTATCCTGAAACATGTTGGTTTCTTTTTGAGCTCACCTCTTCTGAACAACTCATTTTCCCTGCTCACTGGTAAAAGATTACGAACTTTTCCTGCTTCTTCTCAGCTGTGCTGCATCTAAAAATCACAAAAAGAAGATTATTTATCACTCAAACACAGGCATATGAGATAACATTAAAATAGACATTTAATTCCACTATGCTGAACTTGAAATTGCTCTAAAGCAATTAGCCACATTCCACATGCTACTTATTTTCAACAATTCTTTTATTAGTGGAGATGAGACACTATTTCATCAAAGCCTTTTTGTCATTTCAAAAATACTCAAATTTTTGTAAATTTTGATTCAAATTTGCTGAGGACACGCTTGAAATTGAATTGGTGTTCATCAGATGCAGGTATGATCAATGAGAGCAATGCCTGAACCACAGGCAGATGGATGACAACGCATACGCATACGTCTCTTCCACCCTGTTGTTTGGGCCAACAGGGACAGCTTTCTGTGAGTGGTGGGCAGAAGGGAGGGGGGCTTGCTATTCTTTTTAACACTGAACTGTGCACTGCTGGAATTTACCCAACAGTGGGGGTAGGGGCTGGACAGGTTGTCAGTCTGTCATAGGACCAACACATAGAGACAGACAACCGGAGAGTGCCCAGAAAGAACCCACACAAACACAGGGAGAACATGCAAACAGAAAGGACCCAGCTGGTTGATAGAATCAACAGTGCTAATCACTGCGCCACCCACAGCCGCATGTGACATTATTCACTTTGCCACAGCCCGGTTATGGACTCAGCACCTAAGTGCCTTCATTGCTTTGATTTCAACTGTCTCAACTTGGACGCTACACTGCAACCTTTACAGTTTATGGTCTGATCCAGGAGATCATTTTATCTATCTTGGACTTCCCCAAAACATTTTCAGAACCTGGCTTTAAACCAGAATGAGTGGTCAGAACTCATTCTGATTTTATTTGTGTTATTTTATTATAACACAAATATACACGATATAATTTAGTCTTATTTGTGTTGTTACTCAGGTTCTCTCATTTTATGTGCCCTTTCTTAAATTCTGTCATCTTTTCCTGTGTTTTTATGTCAGTTGATTCTTTGACATAAATTTGACTTTGACCTACAGTATGCTAATGCTATGGATGCATACAATCTGACCCTGGGGTCACGGGTATAAACAGACTCAAACTCATCCACAAGGCTGGTTATGCTGTAGGGAAGGAGCTGAATAACTCTCCACCACCTCCACTACAATAACTGTACACCTTTAATACGTTCAAAATGCAAAGCTACAACTGCAAAGCTCTCCAGCGAGTAGTGCGGTGCTCTGAACGGATAATTGGAGGTGAGCTTCCCTCCCTCCAAGACATCTACAGGAAGCGCTGCCTGAGGAAAGCGGGGAGGATCATCAAGGACTCCAGTCACCCCAGCCATAAACTGTTCAGACTGCTTCCATCAGGAAGGAGGTTCTGCAGCATCCGGTCCCGTACCAGCAGACTGAGAGACAGCTTCTTCCACCAGGCCATCAGACTGATGAACACGTCATAGACACCTCAGCTTCACTACTGGAACTTTAACATTATGCACTCCATACTGTACAGTAATGCCACTTGTTTTGCACATATTCAACTCTGTATATTTTATATATTTTATTATTATTTTATTTTTTTACTATTTAATTTGTAAAAATGTGTATACACACACACACACACACACACACACACACACACACACGTAGGAAAATATTTAGTATACACATCCAGAAATGCATACACTATTATATATTGTACATATATTTATTAGTTTCAGGTTGGCCATTCTTGTATTTTGCTCGTTTGTGTTGTTGTGTTTGCACATCTCTGTTGCTTGTGGGGCTCGCACACAAGAATTTCACTCGCATGTGCTGTGCCAGTGTGCCTGCACATGTGATGTGACAATAAAAAGTGATTTGATTTGATTTGATTTGAAATGTAAACTTCAAAACTTGCATTTGTTTTTTGGTTTGTTTTTTTTACAAAATATATACAAATTTGTGTATATGTCTAGATGACCACTAAGGATACCCTACCCTAAGTGATTAAAACCATTTAACACATCAGGTTTGAACTATGTCATCCATCATAAAAAAGTTTGAATGAAGACATATTTTCAAAAAATATAAACATAAACATATAAACAGCCATGAATCATTTTATTTGAATAAACTAATACTACTGATTGGTGGGAATGAGACTTAAAAAAATCATACAAATTAGGACCCGATTCAAGTGAAAAACTTCTCCACTGGGAAATACAAGAACGATCAGTCACCCAATCAGACATGGTGTGTTCCAGTAATGCTATATGGTGATGATAAATAAATACCCAATAAAACAAATTTTGCACATACCTCTATTTTTCCTTGCCGGTGCAGTCCGAGGCCTGCAGAGACAACCTGAGCTCAGAGCGCTCGGAGCTCCGCGCAGAAGATCACTGTGCAGATCCCCTCCCTACTAGGAGTCAGTAATCGCCCAGATTTAGCCTAGCACACCGTTCATTCGGTATAACGCAGATCCTTTCAAGCCCTCATCTGTCTGCTAACGTCGAAACGCAATTGCCACCATCTTTAACAGTGACGTCAGCTTCTTCATCTCTCCGTTTGTGGGAGCTGTGACGTATTAGAGCAGCGCTACTGCCCCCTTGTGCGGGCCCCTGGTTTTCAAAATCTTTTCAAAATCTATTTTTTTTTTTTTTTTAAAGTTGAAAACCTTTTTTTTTTTTTCAATTTTGAATTCGAAAATGGTTTTTCAAATGAGGATTTCTTTTCTGTGAAACTCTTTTCTTTAAGTATTTATTAATGGAATGACAATTCATTTTTAAAATATTGATATAAAAATAGTGTTTTTATTTTAAATTTAATTATTAAACAATAAATTACTTTAGTAATGTTTGAACAAATGAAATAATAAAAATGCAATTTACTAATGCATATTTGATTGATTGATTCATTCATTATTTAAGCACAGAATTGATTATTCCAAACCGTGTGGCTCTTGTAGTCCTACATACCTGTCATATTCTTAGGATTCAGCTGTTTATAATACTTTTAACTTTGGATTTGTAATCAAGAGATTTCAATGACTTTTTAGCCAATACATCTACCTCATTTTTCCAGACCAGCATCTGCTTGAACCCAAAGAAATCCAACATTTATGCCACCATTGCACAATCTTGACCATTGTTCACCTGTCCTTATTGCAGTCTGCAAGTTTCATTAGCGCTGATAAACTGTCAGATGCAATAACTATAGCTTTCTGAATATTTATGCCCACTGCAAACCTAGCATTATGGCTTCCAGCTCTACTGTGTTAAGATTGATTAAATGTCTCTTTTTAATAATTACTCTAAGTTGAGGAATGAAGACCGCAGCACCGGTCTTTTGATCCATCTGTAAATATTAGGACTTCATGTGTATATTGTTTCTCCAAGTAAATCTGTGCTATATACTGAACAAGTGTACGACTGGACTTTCCGTTATTGCCTTTTGAATGTATAAGTCGCTATATAAGTTGCTTTTACTGTGCTCATAGCACTCTTGCGTGAGCTTATCTCTTCTACTTTGGAAGGACATTTCTCCCATTTCCACCTGCATGGCTGTTACTGGAGATTTAAATGCACCACTGCAAATTCTGAGGGCTTGGCTCATTCTGCATCCAGAAATTCCCCCCCCCCCCCCCCCCCCCTCAAGTCCAACCAGTTAAACATGTTAGTCTGAGCCTTCCTGATCTCTGACTGTAGGCATAGCAGAGCATCCATTGCATTTTTACCTCTACTGAATCCATTTTGGTATGATGAAAACAGGCACTTGCTTTCTAAAAAATAAGTGAGTCTTTCAGTGACCATCTTTACTATAGTTTTACCTAACTGAGACGTTAATTGGTCTGTAATTTGATGGATCTGATAGATCTTTTCTGGGTTTTAAAATCGGAACAATTGCAGGCTGTTTCCATGTAGATGAAATTATACCCGTTTCCCAAGCTGCATAAATAATCACAAAACAGCAACAACTCAGTCATTATCCATGTACTCCAACACAGTATAACATTTACTGTCTTTACCTGGAGAGGTGTGACGAACATTTGTTAATGCTTTCTTAATTCATACTGAGCAGTAAGTCCAAACTGCCTCTGAATTCATTTCTTTTTACATTTACCCTGCATCTAAGGTTCTTTGCCAGTGTCTCATTCCTGCACTGTTTAGGAATATCTGATAAATTACCAGAACTATGAATCTTTACAAACATTTGAACATTGAGCTCTGCCTTGTCTATATTATTAATCGCTATTCTGTTCTCTGTCCCTACTGTTTGGAAGCTTGTTTGTCCTCCTCACCACACCCCAAATGTCCACTAACCATGTCTCTCTGCCTATACTATTACAGTACTATTACATTGCCTCCAATATGTATGCTTTGTAGACCTTTTAATTCTTCGCTTGTGCTCTTGTAGTGAATCAATGCTTTTATTGAGTGGTAATTTTTCAGCTGTCTAAATGCTCTTTTTCTGTTCTTTACCGCTTTACTTACACTCCTCATGCCACCAAGGTACATACAGATTATTATATCAAGTTCCTTTACCATTATTAATACACACTAGCCCCACCCTATCCATAAAATCCTACTAGCACTGGACTACTAGCACTGGACTACTAGCACTGGACTGACTAATCTGTACCTGGCTGTAGCTCAGGTGGCAGAGCAGGTCAGCCACTAATCAGAAGGTTGGTGGTTCGATCCCAGGCTGCCTCCGGGCTGCATGTCAAATATCCTTGGGCAAGATACTAACCCCATGTTTGCCTACTGGTGGTGGTCAGAGGGCCCGGTGGCGCCTGTGTCCGGCAGCCTCGCCTCTGTCAGTGCGCCCCAGGGCAGCTGTGGCTACAATGTAGCTTGCTATCGCCAGTGTGTGAATGTGTGTGTGAATGGGTGAATGACTGAATGTAGTGTAAAGCGCTTTGGGGTCCTATGGACTAGAAAAGCGCTATACAAATGCAGGCCATTTACCATTTACCATTTATTCCAGTCTCCACAATAGTGCAAGAATAGCTGTGGTTAAAAAGAAAATGAGGAAGAATATGTCGCAGAAGCCCAGCAAAGAGGATACAGTGTACTCCTGTAAGCGATGTGGTAGCAGACATGAACCTAGACAGTGTCCAGCTTATGGCAAAAGATGTTTGAAATGCGATGGAAAAAATCATTTTGCCAAACAATGTCTGTCGAAAGCCAAACCCAAATCAGTGCATGTAGTTGAAGAGACTGACTTAAGCGAGACTTTCTTTGTGGGCATAGTGTCACTTGAGGATGTAAAAAGTGAGCATAACGAAGCAGAGGACAGTGAGCGATGCTCAGATTATGAAGACACGTGGATTGTTTCACTCCCAATACAAGGAGCTTTGGTGGCACTAATGATTGATACAGGTGCGCAGGCGAACCTAATCAGCATGACAGAGATCCATGCCATGAAACCAAAGCCCAAAATAATAAAGAAAAGAGTACCTCTAAAAGACTACAATGGAAAGTATATTGAGAGCAGTGGTCAATGCAGGCTTAAAGTGACAATAAAACATAAAGATTATGATGTATTGTTTAATGTTGTTCCAGAAGGTTGTGAATCACTGCTGGGTGGCGTGACATCCAAAAGATTGAACCTAGTAGAAAGAGTGTATCACATCAGCTGTCCAGAAACAGAAAGTGGACAGCGAGGAGCAGTTGACTCCATTGTACAGCATTATGAGGATATCTTCAAAGGTTTGGGATGTCTACCATGCAATTACAGTATCCAGCTGAAAGAGGATGCAAAGCCAGTGATCCATGCACCACGTAGAGTCCCCGCTCCACTGAAGGACCGTTTAAAGAAAGAACTTAACAGGATGTTACAGTTGCAGGTCATTACAAAAGTGGAAGAACCGACTGCGTGGGTAAACTCAATGGTGTGTGTGGATAAAAGGAATAAAAACAATGATTTGAGAATATGCATGGACCCTGGCGATTTAAATCAAGCCATAAAACGTGAGCACTACCAGATACCAAAGCGTGAAGAGGTTGCAAGTGAAATGGCAGGCGCCAAATACTTTTCAAAGCTAGATGCAGCACAGGGTTTTTGGCAAATAAAGCTGGATGAGAAAAGTTCAAAATACTGTACTTTCAATACACCTTTTGGCAGGTATAGATTCCTCAGAATGCCATTTGGCATAATCTCAGCATCTGAGATTTTTCATCGTGCCATGGACAACATGTTAGAGGGTTTACAAGGTGTTCGCTGTTATGTTGATGATGTGGTTATATGGGGCTCCACCCTACAAGAACATAATGAAAGACTGGTGAAGGTGCTGCAGCAGATGAGGGAGAATGGATTAAAGTTAAATCGTGACAAGTGTCATTTTGGTGTGAAGGAAATAACATTTCTGGGAGACAAATTCTCTGCTGGAGGTATTGAGCCAGATGAAAGAAAAGTAAAAGCCATCGCAACAATGCCACGCCCGACAGATAAGAGAGGTGTGCTCAGAGTGATGGGAATGATAAACTTTGTAGGAAAATTCATACCTAACTTGTCAGTGCGAACATCAGCACTAAGGGAGTTACTTCGTGATTCCATAGAATTTAAATGGTCAGCGAGGCATGAACAAGAATGGAATGATTTAAAAACCACACTGACAACGCGCCCAGTGCTTGCATATTATGATCCAACTAAGAGTCTGAAAATCTCAACAGATGCCTCAAAGGATGAGCTTGGAGCTGTTTTACTTCAAGCTGAAGAGGGGAGTTGGAAACCAGTTGCTTATGCTTCTAGATCCATGACTAAGTCTGAAACCAGATATGCTCAGATTGAGAAAGAATGTCTCGGACTGGCATATGGACTTGATATTTTTCACTGTTATGTTTATGGTCTTCCTACCTTTACAGTTGAGACAGATCATCGTCCTTTGGTGTCAATCATTAAGAAACATCTGAACGAGATGTCACCGAGGATTCAACGTCTCATGATGAAACTGCAAAGGTACAGCTTTGACTTGATATACACACCAGGAAAGCATTTAGCTTTAGCGGATGCACTGTCGCGAGCATCAGAGGTGTGTCACGCAAGCTCCACTGAGAAAGAAGTAGACGATCATGTTAATATGATAGTGGAGTCTCTGCCAGTGTCTGACGCAAAGATAAAACAAATATGCGAGGAGACAGCTGCAGACAGGGAGCTGCAAACGGTGATGGAAAATATCCAAGGGGACTGGCCCAAAGGGTCTTGTTCAAAGTATTATCATGTTAGATCGGAGCTCAATGTGGTAAATGGACTGCTGTTGAGAGGCAATAGGATTGTGATACCACATAGTCTGAGACAGCTGATACTTCAAAGAATACATGAGGGACATCTGGGAATAGAAAAGTGTAAAAGGAGAGCTAGAGACACTGTGTACTGGCCTGGCATTAATAAAGACATTGAGACCATGGTCGGAAAGTGTGAAACATGTAACAAGTTTCAGAGCAGACAGGCAAGAGAACCCATGATGATTCCTGAACTTCCTACAGCGCCTTGGAGGAAAGTCGGAACAGATTTATTTCATTTTAATGGGAAAGACTATCTG